TGTTGGCTACGGATGATCTTTTTTGCATCAATTCGTCACTCAATCGGCCTTTGGAGTAACATTTAACTGTTTCGACAACTCTAAAAGCGTTTGAGCTGGATTCTCATCAAGCAATTCTTGCAGCTCGACATCTTCAAATTTTTTCGGTTGTTCTGGACGTTCTTTGTCTCTCACATTAAAATCACCGTTTCGGAAGCGTTGAAACCAAACTCTACTATGTTCTTTCCGATGGAGTTTCATCACCATACACTTCGGATAATAAGCAATGCGCTTCAGCTGCGGTTTTCTTGAAGTCGAAGTAGTGAAGAAGCACATGTCGGAAAAGCAGCTTATCGCGATTCATTTTCAATCGATTGGAAAATCTCTTTGGCGTGGAGAAATCTAACCTGTGAGGATTGAATCACTTTCAGCGATGTCTAAACTACAAAAGACATGTGACTTCATTGTCGAAACTCGCCAGCGTTGGAGAGAGGCAGAGCCCTCTAGTAGCGAGCGATAGGAATTAAGTTTAACACCTAATAAAATAGAATAAAAAATTTTGTAATTTAAATGCATTTATTTAGGCTCATGGTCTGCAAAGGCAGCAAAAGAAGCGGCGAAATATGGGAAAGTGAACATGGTTTTGTCTAATGTGGCAAAATACATAGAAATTCCGCATCCCTCCACATGGAACTTAAACACGAATGCATCATATGTTTATTATTGCGCTAATGAAACTGTGCACGGTAAACAAAAATATTTTTAATTGTTTTATTATATTGTTTTAATCTTGTTTACAAAAATAAAAAAAACGAGACGTAAGTCGATTGTAAGAGAAAAGTAATATAAGTATGAATGAAACTTTTAGAAAACGTAAATTAAAATGATGGAAAATAAAAGAAGTGTTTTAGTGCTGTGTTTTAGAAGTGACCTCTTACGCTTTTTTTTCGTTTCGCTGTTACTATTTACGTTTTTAAAGAATCCACTGTATGCTTTTGTCATTTTGTCTTTATGTTCGACTTACGTTCCGATCTTTATTTTTGTTAGGGATTATGTACGGATATATATGTGTACTAAAATATGTATGTTTCCAGGAATTGAATTTGATTTTATCCCGGAAACAAATGGCATACCACTTGTTGCTGATATGTCATCTAATATACTTACGAAACCTTTCGAGGTATCTAAGGTAAGTATCCAAGTTAAATATGAATATCTTCAAACATATTGAATTATTTTGTGTTTGACGAAATTTCGTTTACTTACATCATGTAGTACACATTATTCAATCTCGTCAATAAGAAATTTTGAAACTGCGACGGTACGCTTTGCTCGCCGGAATTTGCTCGCCAGATCCAAGGTTCGAGAAAAGCATGAGGCACTAAATTATTTTATAAAGAGTATCTTTATTTACAGAACTTTCTATATTGACAATTGGTCTGTTTTCTGTTTCTACACTAGACTGTTCTAGAATTCTTTTTTTCGCTTTAAACAAATATCAAACATATATCTTTCTCACTTTAAGTTCCAAAAATGTACACTAGTTCAGCCACAGAAAACAGACTTAATAATTGTTAGGAATCATCTTTCCCAACTGTCTCTTACGGATATTTACGAACTATTTTTTCTTATATACAATCGCTAAATCGTTTTACAAAGAGTATCTTTATTTAGAATTCTCTATATTGATGGTTGTTAGGAATGGTTGTTAGGAAGAAAATCCATTTACCGTCAATCGTTGAGTGATTAAATCTTGTATTTCTATACTGAGAGAGAGATTGGGTGGCACCCAGTTGGACACGGCTCAATTGGACACGAGCCACTCACAGCGCTTGAGACTACAAAGCTCCTAAGCACCGGTCGCTGTGATTGGTGGTGTTGACCAATTCTGATTCTGATTATAATTCTGAGTCGCTGACGACACTGACTCAACAAATTAACAGCGTTTTCGATTGGGGTGCACTGGCTGCACTCAGTGTCAAGAGCGTGTTCGATTGGCAGTGCCAA